TTATAAAAACTCTCGAGAGGCTATGTGATAGACACATTAGAGATGTGCACTTGCCATTGCAAGCAATACACGCCTATCAACCAGGAAAATCTACGGAGACTGCAATGCACTGTGTTGTGCAAAGAATAGAAAAATCACTTTTCTATCGGCGGTCAGCCCTAGGAGCTTTCCTTAATATCGAGGGCGCTTTTGACAAAGCAACTTTTCACAGTGTAGAAACTGCTCTGATAAGACACAACGTTGACCCAACCATCATCGGCTGGATAGGTTGTATGTTAAAAAACAGACCAGTTCAACTAAATGGAGGAGGCGTGAAGGTAAGAGCGCTTGTCAGCAGAGGCCGCCCCCAAGGCGGCGTCCTGTCGCCACTACTTTGGAGCATGGTAGTTGAAAGCCTCATTAAGACCCTCAAAAATCATGGCAACTTTTCGACCACGTATGCAGATGATATCACAATTTTGCTTACCGGAAAATTTGAAAACGTCCTGTGCGAAACCATGCAGACCGCTTTAAAACTAGTAGAAAGATGGTGCGCAGAAAACTCACTGCCTGTAAACCCAGCAAAAACCGAGCTAGTGCTTTTCACTAAAAAGAGGAAGCTGGTCAATTTGAGACCTCCCTCTCTGTGTGGCGTGCAAGAGGTCAAATATCTGGGAATCATTCTGGATAGTGCCCTCAACTGGAACAAGCGCCTAGATGATAAGACCAAAAAGGTCACCAAGGCGTTCTGGCAGTGTAGAGGAGCTATAGGCAAAACTTGGGGATTATCTCCCAGGATTGTTATGTGGCTTCTCACCGCCCTATCCGACCTATGTTTACCTATGGAGCAATTGTATGGTGGACCAAAACCAAGCAAATAGTAGCTAGGAACAGAATGCAACAGCTACAAAGGTTAGCATGCCTGGCAATCACAGGGGCAATGAGAACCACACCAACAATGGCCTTACAAGTGCTGCTGAGACTGTCGCTTCTTGATGGATATCTTAAAGTCGAGGCACAGAGAACAGCATTCCATCGGATTGTGGTGTGGAGGAAGCGGGGGTTCAGGGCATGCCCGGGTGTTTCCGGAGGCTGTCGAACGACAACCACTGCTGGAACACCGGATGCAATGATTTCACGCTTCATCTTCAACAAGGCCTTTAGGGTAGAACTAAGCGGCCTAACACAAGCAGGCATAAGAGCACACATACATAGTTACATGGATGGCGCAAAAAACCAGTCGGAAACTGGGCTAGGCGTGTGGATACCTGAGCTCGACCTAGAAATAAGTATAGCTTTAGGCACTTATGTGTCAGTTTTCTAGGCCCAGCTGCTTGGAATAATGCAGGGAGATGGACAAATACGGGAAAGGTGGATAAAGAGAACAACCATCACCTTTCTGATAGATAGCGAACAAGTATTGCAAGCCTTAAAAAAGGTGTAAGTAACATCTAAATTAATCCTTGAGTACCACGAGACACTAGAGGCAATTGCCCAAGAAAACACGATCATGGTGTCGTGGATTAAAGGCCACAATGGCAATCAAGGGAACGGAAGAGCAGATAACTTAGTACGCACTGAAGCTAAAGGAAAACTAATCGGCCCCGAGCCTTTTGCGCCGCTGACTAGCAAAACTGTAAAACTAGAAGTCAAAGAACACTTAGACAGAATCCTTAGAGAGAGCTGGGAGAGTCAGGACTTCAGACACTCGAGAGCCGCTATCGGTGGTCCTCGGGCTAGCCTGACAGATTACCTCCTTGAACTATCCAGGAACAACTTGAGGAAACTAATAGCAGTACTTACAGGCCACTGTAAGTTAAATAAGCACCTTTACACCTTGGTGATTGATAAACGACCCAACATGCAGAGGGTGCAATGAAGACGGCGAGGCGGCAGAACACATGTTGTGCCATACTGTCCGGCTCTCGTGAACACTAGAGAATCTACTATGGGGGACCGGTGGCCATCAATGGCCACAATTAGAAGGTACTCCGCCGCCACATTATTGAACTATATCAATACTGTCGGCTGGCTTAACGAGTAACACTCTAACAATGGGCCCACTAAAGAGGCCTTAGCATAAGGTGATGCAAGTCATGCCTCCAAATCTCTGTCTACATCTACATCTCTTGGTAGGTTGAATCAATAAAGCTCTTCAACAAACATCTTCCTGATCATTTTTGGTCCTGGACGAATCGATTTACGAATTTTCTAATCGATCCCCTTGTGTCAAAGTCGAATCTTCTCGATCCTTTCTGTCTTCTCCAAAAATCCTTTTTGATCTTGGCAAATGGAGTGATTTCATCCTATGTTCAGTCATGATCCTGGACATGTCAAGCTAAAAATAATTTATGTGTTCCTGCTTATTTTCCACTTTTGGTCTTCTTCTCAATGTTTCTTGGTATACTAATGGTGAATTGTCCATAGACTGAAAAACTTTGGGTCATACAAGGAAAAGGCGAGGCAAATGAGAACTTTAGAGAAACTCCACAATTTTCGTATCTAATTGAAGATGAGACTAATTATGTAATAACTACTGCGGAATCTACTACAATGTTTTCTGTACAACTGAATGCATCACAATTGAGAGAAAATGAAGGTGTACAACTAAGCCAACCGGAAAAGCAACAAATTGAATTCTTACTGCACCAATATGCTGAATTATTCACATCCGGTACTGAGCCAACACCATATGCAGAACATACAGTAAAACTGACTGATGATACTCCAATTTCTGTAACACCTTACCGGATGATTGAAAGATGGAATCATAGAAGAATGCGAATCCCCGTATGCTGCTCCAGTTGTTCTAGTACCTAAACCTCATGGTAGTATTCGCCTTTGTGTCAATTATCAACGCCTAAATGAGAAAAAAGTTTCCGTAAATACCCACTTCCTAGAATTGATGATCTATTACACGCTGCAAAACAAACAAAGTATATGACCACTCTTGATTTGAAATCAGGATACCATCAAGTCTCTGTCCGCGAACCTGATCGAGATAAAACAGCATTTATTTGCCCATTTGGAATTTTCCGTTAGAGAAGGATGCCATTTGGAATGAAAAATGCACCTTCTACTTTCCCAAGACTCATTGATCGATTCAAATCCGGACTCCAAGATTTGACCATATTAGCTTATATAGACGATTTGATTGTATTTTCCAGAACCAAGAACACATTTTGATTTACAACGACTTTTTAACCGGCTTTCAAGGGTCACCTCAATCGATCCAAATGCCATTTTGTGTGCACCTCTGTGAAGTATTTGGGACACCTAATTACACCCCAAGGAATCCAACCAGATCCTTCTAAAATTACCGCTATTCTGGAGAGACCACCTCCCAAAAATGTGAGAGAGCTTTTGTCCTTTGTCCAAATATGCTCTTGGTTCCAGCGATTCATTTCTTCATTTGCAGAAGTTTCGAAGCCCTTAACCTCCTTAACCAAGAAGAAAGCTATTTGGAAATGGGAGAAGAAAGAACAAGATTCTTTCAACCTTATGAAACAACTTTTGACTGCTAATCCTATACTCCGAGAGGCTGATAGTACATAGCCTTATATACTCAGAACTGCTAGTTCATACGCTTTAGGGGCCCGATTACTCCAAGGAGAGAAGGCCGATGAAAGATCTGTTGAATATGCAAGCCGACTTCTCACATCTGCTGAGAGGAACTATCACATAACAGGAAGAGAAGCTCTAGCAGTTGTGTGGGCTGTGGAGAAATTTAGAGGCTACCTGGATGGAGCTAAATTCATTATCCAGACTGACCACCAGCCATAAAAGTGGTTAATGTCTTTAAAATCACCTAGTGGCCGATAAGCTCGATGGGCTTTGTCTTTACAGGCTTATAACATGAGCAGTGGCGTAGCAAGACTTTCTCAGGCCCGTAAGCAAATAATCCCACGGGCCCCCCATCAACCGAACTGAATGTTTGGAAGTAGGCAATCCATAATTTATCTAGCGGTTAGGCGTTGATCAAGGAAAACGCAGCCCTAAAGGGTGTTCTTGGCTGGAAATCGGGATATATCCTCTTAAATTTTTAAAAACCGGGACATTTCGTATTCAATCCCTGAATCTAGACGGTTCGGTTCGGAAATATCTCTAAAAATCGGGACTGTCCCGCCTAAATCGGGACGTCTGGCAACCTTAGCCTGATGTTCAAAAACTAAAATCGATAGACAGGGCCGGAGTGGGTCTTCGAAGTGGCCTGGGCAAATAATTCCAACCGGCCATTTCTGTAAATATGTACTTAGAAAAAAATATTTATCTTCAAATCAAACAGTTATATACGTATAAGTACAGGGTGTCCGACTAAAATGATACCACTATTGCTATCTCCGAAAGGGTCAGAAAGGCGAGGTCGGTTAAATTAGACAAAAATGGCAGATTTCAGTGTTTATTGAAGGTGAGTTCAGAAGGTTGTCAACTTTATATGCTTTTCCGAAATATAGGGGAAATGTAAAAAATGCCCAAAACTTATTTAATGAATATTTCAGAATCTATCAACTTTTGAAAAAAATGTTCAATACAAAAGTTTCAAGATTCCTTCTTCTCTGGAAAATGACGTAATTTTTAGCTTCACACGGCTTTAAGTTGTGTCTACATTTTCCCTTATTTTTCGAAAACGAATAAAATTTCACCAAACTTATCTTTAATGGACACTAAAATCTGCTACTTTTGTCTAATTCAACGGATCTCATACCTCTCACTGTCTCGGAGAGAGCAATAGTGTTATCACTTGGAGCGGACACCCTGTATAACGTTAGTAATGGCACATTGGTAAGAATGGTAGGTAAGTAAGGAACAAACGTCTATCATACCATACAAGAATAAGGATACAGCGGTTACAGGACCTAAAGAGGAAAAAATGGTGCCGTCAACCGCAGGTCGAAACTCAACCTTTGGTCAACCGGACATTATAAGTAATACCGGCCCCTGCCAGTCCGGCCCTGTCGATAGATCATGCAAACGGGTTTGTGACATTGCATTGCATTACATGATCTCTTGGCTGTAGCTACTGGAACTTCTATTTTCCTGCGTTTGATCTTTCGGAGATGGTCCTTTCGGTCGACAAGATGGTCCTTTCGGTCGACAAGATGGTGAACTAATAATAATTCGTCTTGTGTCATCTGTCATATTTTTATCCGTATAATGACCTGAGTCAGCGGAATTTGAAGGACACTGATTAATTTTATTAGATGACTTTTCTATGCCCAAATTATCAGCCTGATAACAGCAAATAATTCTTGAATTCTATTGTAAATGAATTGAAAATTTTAGGGGTTCCAGGGTTAATTTGGTTACCTTCGGTTTTTTTTTTTAATAAAAAACTGTCCAAACCGCCAGATTTATGGAAAATATGAACAACTGAACTCCGGGTCTTGAGCCCGTAAGCGGTGCTTACTCCTGCTATATGATAGCTACGCTACTGAACATGAGAACTGAATATACACCTGGAAAGGTAAATGTAGTGGCTGATACTTTATCCCGGCCACCACTAGAAACGTCTCAGACACAGGTGAATGAAGTTATTGTTGATTTGCCAAGAAAAAAAAAAGAAGACATTAGAAGGAAACAGAAGATGTATTGAAAATAATTTCTTGTTTTGAATCACCGGATCCTGAATCAGTGGAATTCAAGACATGACTGACCGCGGTTACATTATGACCAAACGAATCTTGTATCGCTTTGATCCTGAGAGTGAGATCCAAGAAGAAATACAATTAGTGGTACCGAAAAGCATGATTTCTGAAATTCTAGAAGAGTACCACGATTCCCCCTTAGCTGGTCATTATGGTATTGATAAAACCACATAACGAATACGTTCCAGATACTATTGGCCAGAAATGAGAAAAAGTGTTGCCGAACATGCGTCCAGCTGTATTGAATATAAGAGATATAAAGTGAGAAATCTTGAACCTGCTGGTTTAATACAAAAATCTGCAATGGCCAAGCGATTTGAAGTAATATTTATAGATCTCCTTGGACCTCTTCCTGACACCGATACTGGTGAAAAATATATATTTATAATCGAAGACACTATCAGCAGATGGATAGAAATATTTCCGCTCGCACATGCTACTGCCAAATCTTGTGCGCAAACTGTTGTTGATGAGGTGATACTCAGATATGGAGTTCCCTGAAGGGTTACCAGCGAAAATGGAGTGCAATTTGCGAGTGAAACTATGCAGTATGTAGCACATAGTCTTGGTTTTCATCAGCACTTAATACCTGTGTATCATGCCGAGTCTAATCCTGTGGAACGGAAAAACCGCGACTTGAAAATTCAACTATCGATTCTGGTAGCAGGTTGTCACACTCAATGGAAGAATAAACTACCCTCCGTGCGTTTTGCCATGGATACCTCAAGATGTGACAGTACTGGATATAGCCCAGCCTAATTTAACATTTGGACGAAAGCTCCAGACACCCGATGATGTACAAAGGAACATGAGAGTTATCACTGATAGTGAAAATTTCATTCCTCAAGTTACCCCTTATTTGATAAATATTGCTAGAACCTTAAGAGAAGCAAGAGAGCTTCATGAATAGTCCTAAGTTGAATCAAAACATTCTGCTGACTAAAGGAGAATAACTATCTCCCATTACAAAGAGGGAGATTGAGTGATAGTGGATACACACCCAATTAGCAAAGCCAAAGATGCCTATACTTCAAAATTTGCTCCACGACGTGATGGTCCTTATGAATTTACTAAGGTTGTCACTCCAACAATAGTTGAAGTTAAACCTATAGAGCCAACTGAAGGTCCCACCATCAAATTACATACGTCAGCTATGGCACCTTATGTGGGAAAAGGAGAAGTTCCAACACCAGTACGACCATTCCTCAGAAAATACAGATGTACTGAGATGATAATGAGAGTTCTAACGAAGAAAAAAATGAAAATGACGATGAGCCCAGATTATTCCTCACTAAGCTTCAAAATGTCTTTTACAGTCTCACCTAGATCAACCATTGTTGATGTTGTTGTTGTACAGATGTCTTGAAGATGTCTTTAAGTTGTCTTTGAGATGTCTTAGAGTTGTCTTTGAGGTGATGTTGAGATGTCTTGGAGATGTTGTTGTTGTCTTGAAGATGTTGTTGAGATAGATGACTTAGATTTGTCTTTGAGGTGTGGTCGAGATGTTCTGGAGATGTTATTGTTGTCTTTGAGATGTCTTGGAGCTGTCTTCGAGGTGTTGTTGAGATGTCTTGAGCGCGATCGGTAATGCAGACCTGGGCGCTGGAACGGGGGCGGGGCTACCTGGAAATTGTCAAAAAAGCTGCAATTTGGAATCTAGGGCAAATGTAGTGATTTCATCTATTATTCTTCAACCATGGTTCTGGCATGTTAAGCTTAAAATCATTAACGTGTTCCATCTTGTTTTCCACTTTTTGTCTTCTTCTCAATGGTTCTTGTTTTTGGACAAATCCAGCTTCAAACTTGATTTCTGTCATGAATATTATTGCTGTTGGAAACTGTCCATCTACTAATGGTGAATTGTCAATAGACTGCCAAACTTTGGGTCATAAAAGGAAAAGGCGAGGCAAATGAGAACTTTAGACAAGTGTCTAAAAAAATGCAGTTCAGCAAAATTTTCAGTTTGACCAAGAACTATTGACACAATATTTTGAAGCTTGAAAGCGTAAAATGGACAATGTAAAAACTAAGTACTTTTTAGTGTGAAGTGTGAAGATCACAGTGTCCAGATGAAGATCACAGTGTCCAGATGAAGACCACATTTCTAGATTTCTACAAATCACCAGCATGATTACAATACAAGCAACAAAAGTACCTACTTTCTATACATCTGACGATAAATAGTTATTCCTTGATGCTGAAGGGTTATGACTCGGGTTATGACTATGAGTAGCAAAAACCCCACAGCAGCTATTGAAAATCAGACGGAATCTTGTGTAATTATTTCGTTAGGGAATGTTTTGAAACTGCTCCATAGAGTGAGTGACATTACTTTCATTTTGTATTTCTTTCCTGAAAAGACTTTATCTCCTTGTTGCTACCTTGATATTTCTTGATAAGTTGGATCAATCGAGTTCTTCAACAAACATCTTCCTGATCATTTTTGGTCCTGGACAAATCGATTTACAAATTTTCTAATCGATCTCCTTGTGACAAAGTCGAATCTTCCCGATTCTTCCCGTCTTCCTTAAAAATCCTTTTTGATCTTGTGCAAATGGAGTGATTTCATCTTATCTTCAGTCACGCTCCTGGATATGTCAAGCTAAAAATAATTTAAGTATATGTTCCTTCTTGTTTCCCACTTTTTGTCTTCTCAATGTTTTTTGGTTTTTGACAAATCCAGTTTCAAATTTGACTTCTGCCATGAATATTGTTGGATTTTTCTTATTAAAAACTGTCCATCGACTAATGGTAAATCGTTCATAGACTGACAAACTGATGATGAGAACTTTAGAGAGGATGTGATCAAGTGTCTAAAAAAATGCAGTGAATGTGAATTTTCAGCAAAATTTTCAGTTTGACCAAGAACTATTGACACGATATTTTGAAGCCAGAAAGCGTAAAATGTAAAAAGTACTAAGTTCCAATGTGAAGACCACAGTGTCCAAATGAAGACCACATTCCCAGATTTCTACAAGCCAGCATCATAATTTCAATACAAGCAGCAAAAGTACTTGTGGAATTATGGAGTGAGTGACATCTCTTTCATTCTGTATTTTTTCCCTGAAAAGACTTTCTTTTTTTATCTCCTTGTTGTGGCACCAAACATCTTCACAATTATTCTTTCCAGTTATTTGACTGGTAAGGTGAGTCGTTTTCAATTTCGTGCCAGACTTATTCGACTAAATGAATAAACTCTGCCTATAGGCAGCAATCTCAAAGTGACTACCTATATTATACGTTTAATTAAACCCTATATAAAGGTGGGGAGCTTACCGCAATTTAGCATTTTCCTTCACTGCATATGGGGTAGAAGATCGATAATTTTACTCTTTGTAATAAATTAATTATATAAATAATCCACTGGCTTTAAGTAGTACCTAATTAGTAGGATTTTTGCTACAACTAACAAAAATTATTCATAAGTTTGAAAATATTAACATTTCATCTTTGGGTGGCCCACGTACAATGATGTCATTTCATAGATCCAGTACGCGTATAATGAAAATAAATATCGCATTTCATTGATACTCTTATAATTAAAAAAAAAAATCGAAAAAATCTCAATTAAAGGCAAGGATCCAATGGTGTAAATAAACCCTTGCTCGCCATCGTCCAACTGGCCATAATGTGGTCAATTTATTGCGGTTTAATGCACATAACGGGGAGGCCGTTGCAGTTCGAAACGCGCTCAAGTGCATATCGACATTTTCGACCGGCATCGAGTAATAATTTTTATTTTTACTTTATCGATAATGTCGTCGTTAAGTGCTGAATAGATTAGGTTTCAGTGGCAGGACTTGAAACTTCTTTTTCAGACATACTTTTGAAGCTTTTTAGACAAAATTGAGAATCTTCGTTTAACATTGATAGAATACATCGTATCTCAGTTAAAAGTATAGTGTATTCTTACAGAGGAGGCTCAGAGGCTTATATTCAAATGCCTCGAAGATTTTCAATTATTTAGACTTAAAATCTTAACTTTGGTCGACCTCGCCTTAAAGGCAAAATGTCTGCAAACCAGATTCTTAAACCTGTTCGGGAAGAGTGGGCTAGTAATCGCCATTTGTGGCCTGATGAGCTGCAATTGTACTGCATCACCTAAAAAACAAAATTGGTAATAATTGGACAATTTACAAGATTAATTCTTCTAGCTTTCCTTCAATTTAATTCGACCTCACACCAAGTACCAGGGCAACCATGAACGAATAAAATACAGCAGAAATAAACTCGCAATAAAATAGGATAAAATAGTTTCAATGTCTGTGTCGGGCTCCGTTGCAGCATCAGGGCTCCGGGTAACGAATTGCATCGGCATCACATACGACCGGCGTGTGTGTATAGAAAAAGCCCTAGGATACTTCATTTCGGCCATTTTTCGAATTTACCCAGTGGCCACATCTCACGTATTTTATATGTTTCCAGTTTGCAAGCTCGGTTTCCTTGCCGTGTGTCTCTTCAGTGGCGTAGAATCTAGAAATCAAAAAAGTTAATCATGTAGTAAAAGCTTTCATAATTATGTGGTGATTATCATTCAAACTAACATTATCATATGAAGGCAAAAAAAAATTACTTATTTACCATCAGATTTATGTGAAAGGACATTCAAAATTGAGATATTGAATTCGAGAAGACATAATGGCGGGTTTATACAGACACATTACATAAGACATAGGATAAGACGAAAAGTTGACCTCAATGGAAATCTCTCATGTCATTTATACACACAAAATAACATAATATAAGACATAAGAAATTTAGTTGGTACTTTTATGTCTTTTTTCATGTGAAAATGGATATTCCATTAATATTTTGACTTGGAGATTACTTTTTTGTGTTTGAGTTTGATAGAGTGACAGAAAACATGTGATAATTCTCTTGCAGCTGTCTTATGGTATGTTATGTAAATAAACTAACCAATACTTACTTAAAATCTGTTCTATTCTATTTCCTAATTTTCTACGCTTATGGTGGTTGTTTTTCGTTTTCTTATTTCGGCTTATAAATTCGCCTGAGTTGGTTTTATTTCATCCCCCCGAGACTCCAAACCCTACTAAGATATACATTGACTTCTGGATGTAGGTATACCTGAGCCCGTTGAATAAATTTATTTATTCGTATTTCCTGTATATAGGTGCAGAAAAAAATATAATTGGGGATGTTTTTAATTTGGAAAGATCCTGTCGGCGATCAGGTTATAGATGATGGAATCTTGACGCGTGTCTTTCAAGTATGGTCGTAAATAAATTTGTACGTAATTTATCGGCGGCTAATAAAAAGGAATTTTACGATCGCGTTAAGTGCGCCTTAAAATTTATGGGGTTTTGATTCTGCTCCGCTCTTCTCCCACGCTACTATGCTACTCGTTTTATCGTTTGCAGTTTTCTGTTTTTTGATGTGAGGATACCTACAATAGGTAGATATATACTCCATCAGCGGGGGGTTAATCTTTTGTTGGTATCAAAGTAGTCCATTAATAGCCTATAGGTTTACATTTAATAAAGATTTAACAGAAATCAAATTATTAAGTACTTTCTATCAAACTCTAGATCAAATTTTGTATGCTCTGTATCTCTACAACTTCTTTTCTTGTATGATTTGTATCTCTATTATAGGCTCCTTTTATGGTGTATTGCTCCTTTTTTCCCCATTGGTATTCTAGCATCTGGGTCTTCTTTCAGGCATTATCTCAGAAAGTTGATTGCCTCTATCAAATTCCAGTATCTGGGTAGATCCGGGTATTCGCCGACTCATCTATCATGTTTTGTAGTTCTACAATTAAGTACGATGTCATTGGGAAATCGTAGCTATCTGCTTCATTGTCCCTTTGACTTTTCTTCCTACTGGAATGGAATTGGAGTTCTCTCAGTTTGACACTCCTGTAAATCCTATGAAAAACCTGTCTGTATCATGTGTCAATTCGAGATTTGTTCATTGCTTTTTCAATGGCCAAAAATTCAATATTATTCGTTGTTTTTTAGGTGAGAAGCTCTTTCTTAAACCATGTCAAAACTCAACAGGTTGGTTTTCACTGGCACCCCCCAAAATTCATCCAATTTTATTTCTGGAACTATAAATCCAAATGAGCTGAAATTTCCAGGGACTGTAGTCCTCTACTAGGATAAAAATCGCTAGAAATTTCAGGTTTCTATCTATAATAGAAAAAAAGTTATGACTTTTCAAAATTTTCTAAAATGTAAATCATAAGTTAGCTGCCTCAGTACTAAAATGATGAAATTTCATTTTTGTTTCTTTTTTTTGAGATTTTGTGTCTTAATGGTCTTTTGGGACCCCCCAAACTCCATACACTGAATTATTCTGAGACTTGGTGCCAGATTCTATGAGAAAAGGCACTCAGAAAAATTGAAAAATTGATAAAATCACCCCAAATTGCTTAACACGATTTTCATTTCTGGAACTATAAGTTCAAATGAGCTAAAATTTCCAGAAATTATAGTCCTCTACTGGGATAAGAATCGCTGAAAATTTCAGCTTTCTATCTAGAATAGAAAAAAAGTTATGACCTTTGAAAGTTTTCCAAAATCTAAATCATAAGGTACTCAGTACTGAAACGATGAAATTTCAACATTTTTGTTGTTGAAATTTTATGTCTTATTGGTCCTTTAGGACTTCCCAACTCCATACACTAAATTATCCTGAGATTTGGAGCCAAATTTTATGAAAAATGGCACTCAGAGAAATTGAAAAATTGATAAATTACCCCAAATTGCTTAACACGATTTTATTTCTGGAACTATAATTCCTAATAAGCTGAAATTTTCAAGGATTGTGGTACTCTACTGGGAAAAAAATCGTTGAAAATTTCAGCTCTCTATCTATAATGGAACATAAGTTCTGAACTTTCAAAGTTTTCCAAAATCTAAATCATAAGGTAGCTACCTCAGTACAAAAACGTTGACATTTCAGTTTTTTGTTATTTTTGATTTTGTGTCTTAATGGTCCTATGAGATTCCCCAAACTCCATAGACTAAATTATTCTGAGATTTGGAGCAGGATTTTAGGAAAAAAGGCACTCAGAAAAATTGATAAATTGATAAATCACTCCAAATTGCTTAACACAATTTTATTTCTGGAACTACAAATCCAATTGAGCTGAAATTTTTAGGGATTGTAGTCCTCTACTGGAATAAGAAGCGCTGAAAATTTCAGCTTTCTATCCATAATAGAAAAAAAATTATGACCTTTGAAAGTTTTCCAGAATCTAAATCATAAGGTTTTTTTTGTTGAGATTTTGTATCGTAATGTTCTTTTGAGACACCTCAAACTCCATACACTGAATTATTCTGAGATTTGGAGCCAGATTCTATGAAAAAAGGCACTCAGAAAAATTGACAAATCAGCCCAATTGGCTTAACACAATTTTAGTTCTGAAACTATAAATCCATATGAGCTGAAATTTTCAGGGATTGTAGTCCTCTACCGGGATAAAAATCGCTGAAAATTTCAGGTTTCTATCTGTAATAGAAAAAAAGTTATGACTTTTCAAAATTTCCTAAAATATAAATCATAAGGTAGCTATCAGTACTGAAACGATGAAATATGAAAAAACATTTTTGTTGAGATTTTGTCTTAATGGTCCTTTGGGATTTTCCAAACTCCCTACACTAAATTATTCTGAGATTTAGAGCCGGATTCTATGAAAAAATGCACTCAGAAAAATTGAAAAATTGATAAATCATCCCAAATTGCTTAATACAATTTTATTTCTGGAACTATAAGTTCGAATGAGTTGAGATTTCCAGGGATTGTAGTCCTCTACTGGGATAAGAATCGCTGGAAATTTCAGGTTTCTATCTATAAAGGAAAAAAAGTTATGAACTATGAAGTTTTCCAAAATCTAAATCATAAGGTTACCTTCTTACTAAATGGATGAAATTTCATTTTTTTTTTGTTGTTGAGATTTTGTGTCTTAATGGTCATTTGGGATTCCCCAAACTTCATACACTAAACTATTCTGAGATTTGACGTAGGATTCTATGAAAAAGGCACTCAGAAACATTGAAAAATTGATAAACCACCCCAAATTGCTTAACACGATTTTATTTCTGGAACTATAAGTCCAAATAAGCTGAAATTTTCAGGGATTGTAGTCCTCTACTGGGACAAGAATCGCCGAAAATTTCAGCTTTCCATCTATACCTAATAGAAAAAAAAGGTATGACCTTTCAAAGTTTTCCAAAATCTATATCATAAGTAGAACACCTTGTATATTTGAATTATTATGGGACGATAAGTTGAATCTTCTTGTGATTCTTCATAGGTATAGATTTGTCTTCTGTTCTGTTTGTATCTTAATCCTGTTGTCATTTCTTCCATTTTTTGTACGTCGATTTTTTCGTTTTACCAGATAAGTTTTTGTATTGCCTCAATTTTTTCGTATTTACCTATTTGAGGCTTATTTTCTTAGCTATGTGATGATAATGGTCTCGTGAGTATTTGAAGTTTGAAACTTCCTGTAATTCTTAGTATAATCATTTCTTGTAGCGTTCTTATAGTTTTTCTTGGGTTGAATTTATCTTTTATTTGTTTTTCTAATGGTTTCTTTGTAAACACCCATTTCGTATTCAATATCTCAGCATTCTTAGGACTTTCAGTTTTTTTCCATGTTTTATTCTTTCCAGTTGAATCAATTTCTCTTGTCATAGTTTCTATCCATAAGTCCTGATCTTTTCTATCAGTCAAATTTTCCACTATTTTAGGAACATTTCCAACATAATATGAAATTGCATCAAAAGTAATTTACATTTCAAAATTTTTATATTTACTCGGTACTCGTCTAGTTCTTCGTCCTTGTATTTCTTGTCTTCTACGTTCTATTTCTTTTTCTTGTATTGTCTGTCTCTCTTCTTGTATTTCTTGTTTGTCTTTATCTTATTCATCTTCGTTTTCTTCTATTATTATACGTTTTCATTATTAACATTTGTTATATTCTTTTCTTTCCTCTGATAAATCACCCCAAATTTCTTAACACTATTTTATTTCTGGAGCTATAAGTTCAAATGAGCTGAAATTTTCAGGGATTGTAGTCTTCCAAAGTTTTCTGGGATCTAAATCCTCAGCGACCTCAATACTAAAACGATGAAATTTCAATTTTTTTTTTTTTTTTGTTGAGATTTTGTGTCTTAATGGTCTTTTTGGATCCTCCAAACTCCATACCCTATTTTTTTCTGAGATTTGAAGCCGAATTCTATGAAAAAATGCACTCGGAATCTGTATCTCTACAGCTTCCTTCCTTGTATGCTTTGTATCTCTTTAGCTTCCTTCCTGGGTCCTTATTCTTGAAACAGGGGAGTAGCCTTTCCAGGAGAACGAGTGTTCCGTCTTTCTCACTTATATTTTCTGGTGCATATCATTGAGAAAGACGGAACACTCGTTCTCCTAGGAAGGCCGCTCCTCTATTTCAAGAATAAGGACCCTGTGGCCCGATTTTCGGGCAGGGAGGAGAGCTCCCC